TAAAAATCATACATTGTATTTTTCTGGATTTTTGTTTTAGATTCCATCACTCACAGGTGAAGAGTACCTATGATAAAAATTACAGTCATCTACAAGCTTTGCAAGTGGGAAAACCTGAAAAATCAACAGTGTATCAAATACTTGTCCTCCCCASTGTAATTACTTTCTTTTACATTTGGATGTATGTAGTGAAACAAAACTCTTTACACTTGATTGTGTTGCACTTTTAAAAGCCCCAAAATAGACGCAATTTTAAAAATTCATTTTAGTTATAATTTGTTTCTTTTTTTTGTCTTCAGGAGGAGCAAAACACCATTCCTCTGTCCACGTTTCTTGATGCCGTCAACACTTTGCGCAGCTTTGGCAACCGTTTTTTCAACCAGAGCCGATACGAAAATGCCAAAGACCGCTATAAACAAGTAATAGAAAAAGTTATTAAATAGTAACTTATTAAGTAATAAGTTGCCAGTATGTTTTTTGTGCGCGCTAGTGAAGATTAGAGGGTGTTTTCCTTGTGGCCTCTCTGTTTTCCCCACAGGCTATAACTCTGCTGAAAAACAGAGAACTGCAGAGCGAGCAAGAGAAAGACAACCTCAAGACGGCTCAGCTCCCGCTCTATCTGAACCTTTCTCTCACTGAACTCCGTCTGGAGAACCCACACAAAGCCCTCAAATACGGCAACAAAGCCTTGGAGATAGACTCCGCCAACACAAAGGCTCTCTTCCGCTGCGGGCAGGTCAGACTGGGTTTATCGTTGTAGACTTTCAGATAAAAAAAAAAAAAAATCCTCCCGGCCTCTGGAGCACCAGATTAAATCTTCACTCTTTGCCACTTCTTTTCTAGTTTTAAGCTTCTTTTTAGTTTTAAACAGGGTCAAATCCATTGCAGTTCAAGTTGTTTTAGACTCGAGTCTTCTCTCCTAGGCTTACCTGGAGCTGTGCGAGTATGAGAGCGCTCAGAGTTGTCTCATATCCGCTCAGGCGAAGAAGCCTTTTGATCATGACATCAACAGCCTCCTAAGGAAAGTGGCAACGTAAGCTGATTTGTTGTTTTCAGTGAAGCCTGGTCCTGGGTTTGGTGGCAAACTCCTAGACAAGTGGGTAACGCTTTCTTTTACGGTACACTTATTACCATGTAATTACAAGGTAATAAAACAGTAATTAAATGTAATTACTACCTTATTACATGTAATTACGTGGTAATTAAGGTACAAAAGAAAAACTGCTGTTAGTAAAACTACATTTATTGGGTAACGACAATCAAATTACTATTCAATAGTAACTCAACACTATATTTATAACCAAAAAAATGCAACTAAATTTTGGGGTTAGTGGTTAATTGCAATAAAAAATAACTTTAAAACTGTCCAAATTACCTACTACTTATTTAGGTGTTACATAGTGAATTGTAACACATTACCTTGTAAGTGCTACATTAATGCAGACAATTAATTACATAGTAAAATTGTACCATAATTACCACATAATTACATGATAATAAGGTAGTAATTACATTTAATTACCATTTTTTATTACCTTGTAATTACGTGGTAATGGGGTACCGTAAAAGAAAGCGTTACCAACAAGTGATTAGCCAGAAAATCACTTCAGTTTGGACAATATTCCTAAAACTGTTGTGCTTTTTTATGTTTCAGATGTTATAAAGACAGCTTGGATAAAGAAAAAGAGTTTTACTCCAAGATGTTTAGAGAGCAGAGGGACCCGGAGACGGTGTGAGCACCACCTGACACTGGTGAGGGATCCTGTTCGGTAAAACTGGGTTTATAATCCACGAGAAGTGAGAAGTCATGTCTCGCTCGTGTGGTTGTATGATGGAAATGGTATATTTTTCTTCTCGCACCTTCTGCTGAGACCCCTTTATGTGCACTGCCCCCAGACATGCCAAATATAATTAGTAGGGATGCACCGATACCGATACCAGTATCGGGTATCGGTCCGATACCATGTGCGTTAACTCGTACTCGTACTTATAAAAGTGCTCCGATACTACAGGACCGATACCAGCTTCTTTTCACTTAGTTTGTGCATAGACGCTCTAAACCAGCAGGCGGCGGAATCGCGCAACA